GTTGCTGTTGCGGTGATTGTCCCTGCTGAGGCTCCTGTTCCGATTGCAGCTGTAGCTGCAGTGCTTGTGGCTGTTTGTTTTCCAGGTGAACTCTCTGATGTCTGGCCAGGGATGAGGAGTGATTGAATCTTTTGCCACAGTGGCCGCAGGTGTAGCTCTTACCCTCTGAGTGGACTCTTTGGTGCCGAGACAAGGAGGAGGAATGATTGAAACCCTTATCACAGTGGTGGCACATGTAGGGCTTCTCTCCTTGCTGGAGCACCCTTTGCTTGGGTGGAGTGCCATAGGATATAATAGGGTTCCCAGGCTGACTTGGTGAGAACACTGGGTTCTGCAGGTGGGTCTTGTGGTGGCGAGATAGAGAGGAAGAGTGATTGAAACCCTTGTTGCAATGTCTGCAGGTGTAGGGCTTTCCTCCAGCATGGACTTGTTGGTGCTTTTTAAGGTGGCGTTTGCGTACAAAGCTTTTTCTACACATGTTGCATTTGTATGGCTTTTCGCCCGAGTGTACCCTCTGGTGCTCTCTAAGTGTAGCTGCAGCCGCAAAACATTTCCCACATTGTGCACATTGGTGCGGTTTGTCTCCAAGCACAACTGCAGCGTGAGACTTCTGGTGCTGCTTTAGATTGGATGTTGTGGCAAAACCTTTACCACACTGACCACAAGTGTATGGCTTTTCTCGTGCATGGACCTCTTGATGCTTTTTCAGATGCCTCCTGCGAACAAAGCTCTTCCTACACTGGTTGCACTTGTAGGGTTTGTCCTCCGAATGCATCTTCATATGTTCTCTTAAGGTGATGGCGGCAGCAAAGCACTTGCCACACTCTGAGCATCTGTGGGGCTTGTCTGGCAAATGGATCATCTGATGACCCTTGAGACTAAATGCATCAATAACATCTTTTCCTATGATCTCAACTCCAGTAGGAACATATGGTTTTTCTTTCATGTGAATCTTCATGTGCTGCTTCAAACTGGCCTCCACAGCAAAGCTTTCACCACAGTGAACACAGATGTAAGGATTAAGATCCTTATGGATCTCAAAGTGTTGGTGAAGGTCAGCTATGCTGCCAAAAATCTCTCCACATTCATTACACTGCAGACCATGGGCTTCATGAATAATTACTCCATTCTCAGACTCTACTGTCAACTCTCCACCATGGTCAGACTCTACTTTGACCATGTGCTCACTCTCCGTCTTAAGCAGCACCTCTCCCAGCAGAGTCTGGCCACCTGAGGTCTTGATTTCTGCTTCTGTGAAACAGTGCATCTCACCGTGTTCCACTTTAATGTAGTCATGGTCTGTCTCAGCTACAATTGCATCAACACAGGCTACAGCTCCAAGGTCTGCCCCCAGTCCCTGGATCTTTAGGTCTGAACCATGGATCTCCAGCTCTAATCCACGCTTTTCTTCTGTCATGATCTCAGTTTCTGCTCCATAGTGAAGGTCGACATGGCTGTGGGCTATGACACACTCCGACCCAAGTGTGTCAAGGCCAGATGTGTCACATTCAGCCTCTGACTCGGCCATGAGGACACACTCCAACCCCACGACCTCCGTTTTTGTGCCGGATGGATATACTTAAAAGAAATGGGGGATATTGAACCTTTTATGGCCAGAGTACGGAACACTTGTTAGTTGCCAGACCTGAAAAAAACAAAGAAAACAATGTCATCAATTAATCATTTTCATTGTACTTAATCTTTTGATATAGTTGAAAATCTAAACTTGAAAGAGCTTTATAGCAACTGAAAGTTTGGAATCAGCTAAATTATTTTAAGTGTATATTTACATTAGTGAAAGGTTGTTTCAAAAAGGCTAAAGGCTTGACACTCATTTCATAGGAAGTAGCCATTGGACCACTGACTAAGGGCATCAAATAGTACTTTTGAAATATGTAGCTAACAGGACAAAACTCTTATTGTATAATAAAATGTAACTACGCAAAAACAATCAAATGAACAACTGTCATGAAGGAATTAACTAGATGTTCCTGGTTATTTCTTATAATTATTATTTATAACCTTTTGGAGACAGTATGCAGAAATTCCCTGGCAAGAGATTTAATGACTTACACAATGTAGAATTTCTCAGCCCTGCACACAATAACTACACTGAGGAGTTCTTTATTAAGCAGTGATAATATCTATGAAGAAAAATGTCAAGATGACAATAAATCCATATTGTACTGTTTTAACTTTGTATGTTTGCGATTTCTAGTAAATGATTGGCTCTGCAATAATAAGCTCCGTATCAGGGTAAATGTATATAACATGACAATTTTAGATGTAATATCATTTTGCTTCATACACTTGGCTAACCCCGAGCATTTAGCAGGCTACGTGCTTAACGTTAGCTCTGTTAGCCCTTCTAACCGGCTTCATATTAGAAGCCAAAAAACTACAACTACGAGGGCATGACACAAATCAAGCCAAATATACCACAAAGTAAGAAACAGCAATTAACGCTTTAATCTAATGAGCTCTCTATTGTATATGAATTGTAATAAAGTGTTGTTTACATTTCCATGTTTTGCTAAACACTGACCTGTTGATCACTTGCCCCCAGAAATGCTAGAAATAGCATACATAGCCGCTAGTTTAGCTGCCCATACAATGTTATGGAGGAGCTGGTTACCAAGAAATCAGCATTGTGTTAGCAGCTAATGTTCGCCATTTAGCCAGCTAACTAGCTTCATAGCACAAGCCCTATGTCAAGTAATCGTTTAGTGCAGTTCTAAACAACATATATTTACACTTAAGCAAGTGATAGAATCGGAAATTTTAAGTTGTATTTATGGCATTGTCGTATATGCGGAAATAGTCTCGGAGCGATTATTAACAGGCCATCTTGTTGTGCCACAGCAGCAGTTTCAGCTAGTACAGCACATAAGATGGCTGCCACTAGCTAACGTTAGCCTGATGAGCTTCCGCCCTCATTTCATGTTTGATTTGAGTTACATGAACACATCTACAGAACCAAAGCAGAAAACAATAAGAGAAGTATTGCAATTGGCGTCACATTGTTCTGTATTAACAACAACAAATTAGAATGAACGATAATATTAGCTGCTCGAGTTAGCAATCTGAACACTCGATCGGAGAGACCATTAGCGAGTTAGCTGAAACAAAGATGGCTACGAGTCAGAGTCATAAATGCGGCAATGAAAAGCCCGGGAACGAGCGTCTTTTACTTACGTGAAACTCGGTTTTTGCGTAAAACAGAAGACAACTTTGCTTTAAAAACGGCAACTTCACATAGAGGTATCAAGAAGCTACTGTTAGATTTATATTGGACAGACGCTCATCAACAGTCTGTGCTAAAGCTTCGCTCAATGCGACAGCACCACCAGACCGCGCACGCACGTACACACACATACCACTGCAATGGCGGCCTTGTTAGAGTTAGCAGCTATCCTAAGAGAGGCGAGGCTACATAGCCATAATGTCGAGCTAGCGAGCCAAGCTAAAAATGTCTGGTAGCACCAAGTTACTGCATGTCGGTCACTTTAGTTCCAGCCCATGGACTGTGAGACACTAAGGCGGAAGCTTTTCTATAAATCACCCACACAGCCAACAGTGCTTTATCCTGGTTTTGTCTACACAGTCAGTCTGGACCTACCTTTAATAGAACGACGAAGAAGGTACGGTTTTATTGGATTATTAGGATGGGATGTAATTCTGAAATACTTTCTTATGACAGCAACATCGTGTGGCAGTGGCTGCTTGCCTCTTCCCAACTGAATATATATTTACGTTCAATGCGATCAAAGGCCTGCTTTTCCCCTCTACTACGCTGATAATGCACGGATGAACATAACGGCCACAGTACATTGCAAATCCTACATCACTACTGACCACACATGCACCACTAACATATATATATATACACAGTAAACCCGTCGCCACTAGATATGCTCGAGGTCTCCCCCTATGATATATAAACTATTACATGCATAGTGTACACACCCACCTTTGTGTCTTTTTACTTTGTGTGAGATGGGAGAAGAAAATAGAAGAGTCCTCTTATTGGTTTAAATTCCGGACACTGTATGTTTTTCCACGCTGTTGTTGTTAGCCTCGGTAAACTGCTATTGCTCTAGCTCTTTCAGAGTAAAACTGTCTATCTCTCTCCCTGCCTCTGTGTGGAGCTACCGTCGCTGCTCATCTGGCGCCAACGTTAAAGACCGACGCAATTTACACACATTCATTCGTTTTTTCCTAATACGCGGATAAACCCACTGCCTCCCCCTACTGGCATGGAGTGTAATTTAGAAATTACACAACGTCAAGGAACCTAAAAGCTTTGTTTTGTTCCCTTCCCCCTGCGCATACACACAAACAAACACGCAGACAAACACACACAACCAGAGAAGAACCTAAAATAATATAATATTTTATTTTTGCACAAACATTATTTATTATTCTATAGGTTTTCACACCAATAGATGTCCTTTGTTGCATTACTGCCATCCAATGATTTAGTTAATAGATGACAGAGGTTGGGCCACAGGTACTTGATAAATAACAAGCAGAGATATTGTAAGTTATTGATATCTCCAGCACAGTCCCAGTGTATATAACATTTAATGTTATATTGTTATAAATATTATATCTATATTGTCAATGATATGATAGCAACCACTCTATTAACTTTCTTGTGATTTCTATTTCATTTGCTTCATTGTGTGATTCTTGGTAACACCCACTTACCTATTAAGCACACAACCGGGAAGACTGGTTTGACAGTGAGAATAGACTACATAATTCACATTCTGTCACACAGAGCATCAGTCACACAGTTTCACTGGAGCTGTTAGCTTAAGAACCTTGTTTACTTTGTATTTCTGCCTTTGTGGATTTTTTAAATGTATCTGCTGATCAATCTACTTTCTGTTTTCAAAGGTTAACATATTTTTGTCTCTTGGGGAATTACTTATTTTCATTACATCTGTTGAAGATTTTATTTTTGAGAACAGATAAAAACATGTCTCACCCCAGCACTCTGGACTTAGACAGATATAGCAGCTTGGAGAAAGCCCGGCGCTCCACCAGTCGTAACCAACCTCGAGTTCAGGCAAAGTTTGGTGAGGTGCTGTGTGACTTCTGCACAACAAGGAAGCAGAAAGCTGAGAAGTCCTGTTTGGTGTGCCTGGCGTCCTACTGTGAGACTCACCTGCAGTCTCACTATGACTATCCTGCCCTGATGAAGCACAAACTGGTCAAAGCCACAGGTCAGATGAGAGAGAAGATCTGTGCTCAGCATGACAAGCTGCTGGAGGCTTTTTGTCGTACCGATGAGACGTCTGTGTGCGTGCTGTGCATGATGGATGAACACAAACACCATGATATAGTTCCGGCTGGAACTGAGAGGACTGAGAAACAGGTGAGTGTGGAGAACAGCTGTACTACTATGGTACTTCCAGTGACTCTTTGATCTGTCTATCTGCAGTACTATTAATCACCAATGATGGTAATGTGTATTTCGTTTGTGTCACAGAAACAGCTTGGTGTGACACTGCACAAATCTCAGCATAGGATTGACCAGAGGGTTAAAAAGTGGCAGGATCTTCGTCAAGCAGTGGAATCACTTAAAGTAAGTAGTAAAATGAATGACAAAATTCAATGACAGAAATATGATGCCATAACCTTGTCATAAAGACTGGGCAGGTTGTAGACATTTGCCGACAGTTTGCTGTGATTACATGACAGATGGCATCCATAAAGCTTCATTACTGCCTTTTTCAAATTGTTTCCGTTCCCTCCTGACTTGACTGCCCATTATCCTTTCCTTTGTTTGTCCCATTAGCATTCTGCTCAAACTGCTTTAGAAGAGAATGAGAGGATCTTCACTGAGATTCTGCTTACAATGGAGAGAAAGTACAATGAGGCCAAGGAGATGATCCTCACGCATGAGAGGACCACAGTGACACGGGCTGAGATAGTTCTGGGCCGTCTGGAGGAGGAGATCACCTTGCTGCGGAAAAAACACACTGACCTGGAGAAGCTTTCTCACACTGACGATCACATACACTTTCTACAGGCGAGACTGATCTGTGGCTGATCAAGAACACGTCTTTATAAAGTAGTACAATAATCAGACATTTCACGTCTCTATGTCTCTATGTTTTATTTAGGGCTGGCAGTCCTTGTCAGGACCCTCAGGATATGAAGATCTCAATAACATCAGTGTTGCCCCCAATTACTCATTTGACTCTACCAAAAGAGCCATCGCGGCTCTTAAAGTACAGATAGAAGAAATAACCAAGACTGAAATGAGCAAAATCTCAGGAGCAGGTAGGCTGGAGTGCTTTTGTTTCCCTAATCTTTTTCATGAAGCACTGATGTGGTCGTTGGTTTCAGCATACCTTTCGGTGAAACTCTGTCTTTTCATGTGCCTCCTAACAGTGAAGGATGTCTACATCACACAGGAGGGAGAGACAAAGACAAAAAGAGAGTCGTCTGTAAGGGACGAACCACGGATGAGAGAAGAACCACGGACAAGAGAAGAACCACGGACAAGAGAAGAACCACGGACAAGAGAGGATTTTTTGAAATGTGAGTTGTTGTGTTAAATTAAACAATGAGTATTTCACCTCAAACAAAGGTATGGCAGCTCAGTGCGGTGAAACTAGTGTTAAGAAAGGTATGCTCCCTGCAGAACAGGTTTGATGAAACTTAAACAAACCCAGCTGTTCCTTTGTTAGAGTTACAAACCACAGGCCATGGCGGATGACTTTGCTTGTTTCAAACACAATGAAGTCACACATGTTTAAAGTTTTGGGGTTTTTTTTGCATAAAAGCATCACATAAAATGAAACGACAATTTTTTTACACAAACATAAATCAACAACCAATATGTTATTTTGGAGGAGGAGGCCTGGGGGAGGTTCGTAGTCTCTTGGCTGGCCTAGGAATGCCTCTGTATTTCCCCGGAATAACTGGAGAAATTGGCAGAGAAGAGAGAAGTTTGGGCTTCTGTGTTTAAGCTTCTGGCACCCAGAATTTGACCTTGGTTGAGTGGTGGAATGTGGACGAAATGAAAAGTACAATAAAAAAAAAACATAAAAATACCACAAGAACTGACAAATAATTATTTTGTCCTCTGTTGTATTCAGACTCTTGTCAGTTGATCCTGGATGTGAACACCATCCACCCCAACCTTCACCTGTCTGAGGGCAATCGAGCAGCTACCATGAAGACTGAGCCCAAGAACTACCCTGATCACCCAGACAGGTTTGACCACTGGCAACAGGTAAGGCCATAAAATTGACTTAAAGATAATTTAAAAAAAATATCTTTAAACTTTATACTTGGTACTTGGTTCATACTCTGGTTATTGGCCAGAAACTTATGTTAATTTCTGGTTATTGGCCAGAAACTTATGTTATGTGCCATTTTGCTTTAAAATTAATTGTGCAGTTTTGTTAGTTACTATTGATACATTTGTTCTTGATAAGATATTATTTTATTTCTCCTTACGACAAAGATATTGCAGTAGTTTAATTCTTATGTTTACTGTTACTCATTTCATTTACTTCTTTTCAATCCTGTCCAGGTTGTCTGCAAGGAGAGCTTGACAGGAAGTCGTAGTTACTGGGAGGTAGACTGGAGAGGAACAGAGATAGACATAGCTGTTACTTACAGAGGGATCCGCCGTAAAGGAAACGCAAATGATTGCAGCCTGGGCTGGAACGAAAAGTCTTGGAGTCTGTACTGCTCCGAGTCCAGTTTCTCCTTTGTGCATGCTAACAAGAGGAAAGACATTCCAGTTCCGTCCTCGTCTCGCATTGGTGTCTATGTAGATCGGGCAACAGGGACACTTGCATTTTACAGTGTCTCCAATGACATGCAACTACTGCATAAAGTCAACACCACATTTACAGAACCTCTGTATCCAGCTTTTAGTGTATGGGGCTTTGGTACCACTATAAGACTGTAGGAGAGTGACCGCATCTCTGCTTTATTCCAGTAAAACATTCCTTATATCTATATCTATCTATATAAGACTATACATAGTGTAGATTGATCATATGCATTGACCATTCAAAGTGTTGATAGAGTAATTTGTCATTATTTTATAAGTTAACATTTTTGTATAGGTAGATCACTAAATTTGTGTAGGGCGGATTAAGTCTGAAACAGTTCAAAGCTAAATGTTTAACATTTAACTTAAATTATCATGTTTTTTTTTCTTAATTTTCAAAAAATATTATTAAGTATACATACTTTAGCTAGTAAACCTCGCTCTGTGACATAAATCAGTTGAAATAGATTTTTTGTATCGTTTGTAAATATATTTTTTTAATCTGTTCAAATTCTTTGACTTTTTATCTGATCTTTTCAAATCTGCCTTACAGAGCGTGAACCCGAACAAAGTTACTGAAACTTGTGTAAATGGTGTTAACGTAAACTGAGAGAATAGTCGTATTCGTCTTCTGTCTCACTTTATCTGGAATTAAATGTTAACAATTAATCTCAGCGAACGAAGGTTTGTGATTTCTTATTTATTTTAATACAATACCTTCACTATAACTTTATATTAGCTCTATCCCTTCCTGCAGGGGGTGCTATGAATGCAGTTAAAACACCGACCGCACATTGTCCTCCAAATTCAGCAGTTGTCTGCAGCAGAAATGCTTCTTTATTCGCTATACTGACATGGTAACCTACATTGAAAAGTAATATTCAATGTTTTACGTTAATAACATAACATAATAAATAATAAAGTTATATATCTTATTTGACCTTATTAACAGTAGACCGGGAGTGCACAATCGTTTTGCATCTCTGTTTTTTAGCCCTACGTATGTACAAACACAAACAAACTATATTTATATATTCATAATGTTTTTCTTTCTCAGTTGTCAGAGGAAAAGAACATGATCCACTGTCCAGCGTTACAAAGTAGGAGCGCTTGGATATATATAGCTAACACGTCGGAGAAAACTTTAACCCAATCGGAAACAACTTATTTGATAGTATATATCTATACAGCTCCAAAAATATGACAAGCTTTATGTTATGATGTGATTTTCGATTATGACATATTTTATAAATTAAGTAAAGAAAAACTATCACCAACAGAGGGGGTACCAGTTTTTTTTATCTTATCTTATCTTATCTTATCTTAGCTTATCTTATCTTAGCTTATCTTAGCTTATCTTATGCTGGACATTTATCTTATCTTTTCTGTTACCTAAATATTTGTCAATAAGAAATGGAACAAACATTATCAATACGTTCACAAATTGCAAACAACAACTAACCGCCCGCCCGGACTGCTTTGCAATATAATTTCAACGCATGTTTTTTTTGAGGACGGGAGGGGCGGTGCCTCAGCTGGATTCTATGAAGTGTCTCGTGGCGGAGGCAAACTCTGCCATAGTCTTCATGTGAGAGAGAAGTCCCCTCCTCCTCCTTCATCTCCTCCTTCTCCGCTACGGTTAACGGAGAACTTCTGCAGCGAAAAGACAAGAAAGAGGACCTAGTGCAAACATTTTTGACCGTGCCGTGGAGCGGTGGTCCGGCGTGCGGCCGCGGCAGAGTTGTGCAGGTCGGCCCGGTTGTCTTTGATTCACCTACCGTGGTTGGAAGTTTTACACCGAAGATAAAGGTGAGGAAGTGCTGATGTTGGTCGCTGCTAGAAGCAATGGAAAAGCTTGGGAACAGTTGGCCACCGGTAGCTCGGTTGTCAATATATTATGTAAAAACAGCAATATATAAGTAGTTCTTTTTGACAGAAATTTAAATTGGTCATAACCAAAACCAATGCTAGAAATCAGAGCAGGCATTCATAAAGAATAAAGTTATAAATTAAGAACATTACATAAGCACAAGGGAAACAGAGTAGCATTATTTTACCGTGTAACCCAAGTGTTTATTTCGGTTTTACATTGTTTGTTTTTAACGTCTATGGTGTCCTTGGTGTTTGCTGCTTTGCCTGAGCCAGATTTCATGAATTCCTGAGAGAAAGGCCCAGATGATGATCACCAAATCTATCCATTTTAGATAAGCAAGTGGTCCACGTTTATGTTTGGAATAAACATGAGCATTTCATAGTATGACGTAAATAAATAATGAATGTGCAATATATTTCTTAAAATTGTATTTGCTCTTCAAATAACCCAAAAAGACTGCAAATATGTTGCATTCAGTAAAAAGGCTATTGCTTATGACTGACTGATGTCTTTAGCTCTGTTTTAAACTATTACCCACATAATTGAATGACCTACAAAAATATATTAATTTATTTAGGTATTACAATACGTTTGTTGTTTATTTATTTATTTATTTTTACTTCTCTACTACTCCTGAACATGTAAAATATTGTTCATATTGTGCAATTTTCCTTGACTTAACATTCAGACTAGTAGAACAATGTCACAGGTGCTTAACTTTTCAGTCTCAACTCACAACTACGTCCAGTTCTCACCCTCTACATTAGTATGTAAGGATCAAATCCAACTGGTCACATGATGTTAGTTTCAGGTAACAGGTTGGTTTCAAGAGAGAAGCTCTAGTTTTTCTCATTGTCATTGTCAGAGCGTATTAAATGTGTCTAGTTTTTCATTCCAAGAAACTCTAACAGGAAGTTTTCTCTAATCAGTGAAAAACATAATTAAGTTAATAACAAATACTCTGACTGGGAAGGATGCATAATACTGTGGTTGCTGACTTGCCTTCTCCTTCTTGTCTTTCACCAGCTGAAGACGCACATCAGACCGGCCCCTGACCTGTCTACCAACACTCTGTCTTCAAGGCCATGTGTCCACACAGATGTCAATCCCACCATTTTAAATGTTAGTAAAACTTGAGCACATTTTGCTCGGCTGGTCAAAGAGGAAAAAGAGGAAAGGCACTGGAAGATGTCGCTGTGGATGATCCTGCCTGTTAGTCTCCCAGCTCTCACCATCACTGGAATATGGGTCGTGTAAGTACCATATTTATTTGGCTGTAACTCTTTACGTCAGCTGAGGCTGCAATTCATTGTAAAGTTGTCTGTTGCCCCGGTAGTGAGTTGCAATGCTCGGTGCAAGTGCAAGTTTTATTGGTGCATTCTCTCATATGGTTCATTTTAAATGCTGCCAGGCAAGAAAACAGCTTGTGCATATAAAACACATGCCACTTATTTATGCGTAATAGTATAATCAGACAAATGTGGCCCACTGAACATAAAACAGTTTATTTTCAGGCATTTGTATAAAAACCTGGTTCCCGGTTTGAAATTAAATGACACAAAAAAGGTAAAAAAAAAAAGAAGATAAATTAGCATTACATATTCTGTTAATTAGCATCTGTTTTAATGATGCTGAAACTCTTTGACACCTCAGCGACTTGCCTCCAGGAAAGTAGCGCTGCATATTTACCCTGAATTCCTGGGAGCCATGGCGATTGCATGTGGATTAACCCTCTCCTGGAAGCATCTGAGATAATCACCCTTCTCTTAAAAGTGAGACGTGCAGGTTTGACTGCAGTGTAATTATCTGTAGTAACTGAGCAGATGTATGGAAGGGAAAAGAGCGAACCTCCTGGTTATGTCTGGGCTCACAGCTCCGCTGTCTGCTCTGTTATTACACTGGGAGGAGGAACACAAAGCCTGCAGGGATAGGGAGACAGATGGCCCCATTCCAAACTGTCGTACTCCTGTATTTAGGCTTTGTGCTGCAACTTTGATGAGTTAACGTGGAGAGGTGAAATGGTTTAGTCAATTCCCAGATCCAACACCTTGTCTACTGTTAAGTTTGTTGTGAACATGGCTACTAAACCTGTTCTGAATGCCGAATGGCGCTGCCAGCAGGTCAGTTTCCTTCTCTTTACCTTGACAAGGCTGCATTGTTCCCAACAGCAATCAAGGGTCTTTTTCAGAACTTGTGGAATGTCTGAGGATGTGCCAGGTTGTGCAGCTCGGCTTTCTTACCGTGAAAGAGTGGGCTGCGGTGTGGCATAGAAAAATAGAGGAAGGGGTTCACGAGGAGAGTAAACAGAAGTTTGACTCAGCATCTGGTGGCCATGCTATACAGTGAGAATGTTCTGTCAACCTGAAAACTACTGTGCCCACCTGTGAGTTTTGGCTTCGCTTCGTTTGCTGACTTTAAGGTTTTATGGTTGTCTCTAAACTTTGAAAGAAACAATGTAATAATGTATGTAGATCCATGGGAACCAGTCAAGAAGTAAGAAGAAGAAGAAGAAGAAGTACAAGTACAAAGTGACCAAATCTATTCACAGCCTTTAGCATCCCACCCTTTCCTGTGGTTTCTTTAGCATTTCCACCACTTATATTGGATTTTCCATGAACAATTTTCCCCAGTGTTTCCTTTCAAATACTACAAGGAAAAAAAACCCCCAACAAAACACTGTAGCTGCCTTCCACCTATATATTGCCAGAGGGCATGCATTTACAGTTTACAACCACCGCTACACATTGATAGAGGTCCAATCGTGTAAACAAACCTGCTATTACTCAGCCACCTTGGAAGAATGCACCAGTTTAGTCCCATGTTCAGCTAAAAAAAGCTGCTGTTTTCGGCTGTTCCCAGAGCTGCGCTGCTGCTATTTTAGATTTTGGAAGAACATCATAGAAAACAACTCCCTCTCTCAGTTTTCCATAGTTCTTTTTTTCTTGTTTACTTTTATAATAAACTCTGATAGTCTGATAATAAATGTCTACATTTGGTGTTGTAGCGTCGGTGGTTTGGACCTAGAACCCTGGCAGCAGTGTACCTGCAGGCCATGTTCCACTCACAGACATCCTCATTGCATTACGCAAGTGCAGTTCTCTTAAGGAACAACATGTTTTCAATTTGGCTCGTGAGGTTTTCAGGATGGTGATTTATATCGTCAACTAGTATAAGTCAAGTGCTGCCAAACTTAATGGTGTTTTACACTGATCAAAGTAAGAAAAAATTAAAGTGTTGCAAAAACAAAACATTTGAGACAAAGGTTCCCAAAATGTTAACGGCATTTAGTGTTTTTAGATTGTAATCTACTGATACCCACCAGCTGTAGTCGTTGCATCTATTAGAAAATCAATTTTGTGGTAGACCTCTGAAATACATTGTTTTGTGTTTGGCTAAAACCTTTAGTTGTTAATTTTTGGAAAGCCTCCCTATACTTGATGGTCTACTGGACAGACTGTGATTATTGTATTATGTTTAATGATTTCACATTTTAAGGCCTTTTTAGCTGACAGCTGTAGTTGATTAGTTCACGCTACAGTGTTTGCTAATATATTTAATTATTCAAACACTGTTTGATCAGTCAGCCATTTATTCTATAATTTAATTCAAAACACTGGAATCAACAAGCATCGTTTTTTTTTACACTGCTATAATTTTATGAATTTTCTTTTGTTACTTGTTAAAATGACACATTTATGTGGTGTCATCACAATATACCGTGCTGGTTATTATCTCTGTGTCAGGGTAATGGAGGACCTGTCTACTCAAAGACATGTTTATGTGCATGACGCCATCAACTCTGGAAAGCTTTTTTAATTGGTGCTTGAACTCCTCCTGAACTATGACTCCTTCCAGGACAGATTGTCCCACTGTGTCTGACTGTGTCCTATTTGTCTGTCTTTCTTTCCATCTTCTCATCCCTCTATCCATTATACAAATTTTTCTTCGTCTTCAGATATACAGCCAAAAATTCAATACAACACCATCGTGTATATTTCCTTTTATGGTGCATCGCCGGTATTCTGGACTTAATAGAAGTTCTTAAAACATTTATTTTTCTGCAAAACCACCCAGTTAGGGCTACACAAATACAAGTATTGTTGCTGCCGTAGCAACAGCTTTGATGGTACAATGACTTTGCTGAGAGAGATGTGTAGGTACGTGAGCAGGGCTTCACTAAACAGACTTGGAGTCACCTGTCTGTTTGTCTCAGTTATATCTGTTTCAGGTTCGAGTCCACCAGCATGGCACTGTTCCCACACACTGCTGCCCCGCTGTTAACTTTGGTGATGGGTAAAATGCAGAGGTTTGTTGTTTGTTGTGCACAGTGGTGTGCTGTGTCACAATGACTAGTTCACATCTCTTCATTTCCTTCCCCCTTGCTGCTAATACTTGGGCTAAAACCTAAATCCTTCTGGCAGCAGAATTATGTAAAAAAAAAAAAAAAAAGCTCCAGCAATTCTCTCTAGAAACATATCAGTTAATTGTATTTTAAATTTGAATTTCGAAAACCCAACGTATCTTGACACTGCAGATATCACTTTTTTCTGTGTGCACCTTAGATGCTTATGTCACATGACTTGGCTCCGTTTTAATCATGTTGTAAAACTGTGTTTGCTTGTGGCCTTGTGTTAGTGTCAGTGTAGCCTTTGTGCTCCAGTAGGTCACACTGACATAGATAGAGACAGTGAAGGGTCTTGCATTAAATTATGGTGGCAAATCAAATTTCCAGTCTCCAGAAATTGGTATAAACTCATTGAGATGTTGCACTTCCTGTGGCTACATGAAAATAAAAAGACATGTTGTGTTTTGGTAGTTAAACAGTGTAATGTGGAATGGCAAACCTTGATGCTGTGTGTTATGTTAAATGTTACAGGATTTGTACAAAAACAACCTGCTGGTTTTGGAAGCAACACAGTTTGGATATAAAAGAAAATGGAATAAAGAGGCTAATTCACCAGCATGTTGACTTGAAGCCCACCATCACACACTTCACATGTTTTCCCTCCCACTTTAATTTTATTGTCTATTTTTGCCTCTTCACGAAGTCAATTTGCTGTATTTGTCAATGTACACAATACACACAACCAAACCTGAACTCTGTATTTAGTCCATCCATGAGACGGGGTAGTGGGCAACACTGTGCTGCACCCCAGTTTTTTTCAGATACTTTACTCTAAAACTATATCCTGCATTGTCCATATATTTATATTTTATATATGGTCAATGGCAGGCGTGGGCAAACCTTTTGACTCGATATAATAGCAGATAATCATGACTCTTGCGGAATTGTGTTGAGCTAACAAAAGGTTATTTTATCTTTGATCCTCGTCTGAACTAATAATCATGACTCTTGCGGAATGGTGTTGAGCTAACAAAAGGTTATTTTATCTTTGATCCTCTGGTCACTGACTTCTCAGGGTAAGTAGCTTGTCAATGACACAATCTCATCAGTGTTGTGGTTTAA